GTGCTTTAACCCGCTGCGCCACCAGGGAGGGCCAGTGGGAGGTTTTTTGAAGAAGGCAGAGGCCAGTTAGGGGCTGTTGAAATACAGTTGTCTCCCCACGGGGACATGTTCCAAGACCCCCAGAGGATGGTTGGAGCCACAGATGGCACTGAACTGTTAAGCCCGTTTTCCTTATGCAGACAGACGTACGATAAAGCCTCATTTATACCTGAGGCACAGTAAGAGGTAAGAGGTAACTAATAGCTAAGTAGAGCAATTATAGCAATATACCATAATAAAAATGATGGGGACATGGCCCCTCTCTCAAAGAACCTTATTGTACATAATAATTTCAGTTACCCGGGTAACTGAAACTGGAAAGTGAGCCCACCCATGGGGCACTGGGCTCGGACACACCTGGGGGGGCCCAGCAGTTGAGGTGAAGACTAGGGGATTTTTTTAAAAAATTGATTTATGCATACAGGAGCTGGGGTGCAGGCCAGAGGTGCAGGGGTGAGAGGACTCACCAGAGACAGAGTGGGGAGCAGAACAGGCAGATCTACTGAAACCCACTGCTGAGGGGAGCAGTGGGGAGACAGGCAAGGTCTGCTGTGCCCTGTGGGTCACTCCCTGGCCGGGGCTGCAGATAGTTCCATGGTGCTGACACTTAACCCCTTGGGCCAGCAGGGAGACCCGACAGAGGGATTACTGAGAGTGTGCCCTTCCAGCTTGGAGACCTGGGTGTCTCACCTAGCGAGAGCCTCAGTGGGAAGGGGCGCCCCCTGTCCGAGAGCCTTCATTTCAGCAGGCTCAGGCACCCTCTCAGGGGGCCTCAGGGCGGAAGATCCGCTGTGAACTGTGTCCTGGACGTCTGTTTTCCTGAACGCTTTTCACATCCCAGAAGGAGAATGGTCAGCATAACAAAGGTAAGCCTCGAAGACTGGAAATGTTTTCTATTGACGTACATTCGTTTACATCACTGAATGTGCTTTGGGGGGCAGGTTCACGCCTCTACAGATATATGTTCTATTAGAAACTTTTGAGGAACAAGTTGGCCAACTCAGGTTTCAAGCAGTGAGACAGAGATGGATTTAGAGATGATTCCAAAGGTTTGGCAAGCGAGAGCTTTGAGAGGCTAAATATGTATGCAGTGCTTTGATTTCATGTCTAGCTGCGAATCCTTGGGGCCCTCTTTTCAGGTTGGTGGGTGCTGTTCTTCACCAGGAGCCCTGGAGAAAGCAGGAGACCCGCCTGCCCCCCCAACAGGGCCCTTGGGTGAAGAAGTGTCTGTAACTTTGACCTTGACCTAGCCTAGTGGGGCCTGGTAGCAGTAAGGCGCCCATCTTTATAAGACATTTCCATTTTTACACTCAAAGTAAGAATTATAATCTAAAGTTTTTAGCATAAAATGATAGTTTCCATCCTGCGTGGTTTTTACCAGATCGGAAAGGTGAGGAAAGCTTCAGTGTACGTGAAGTCAGGGCCACAGCCAGGGCTCTTGGCCGGGCCTGGGGCTGCGCTGTGCGCGG